ATGTTTGGCGAGCTCATTATCGGTAAGTACACCGGAAGTTGTAATCGCATCTTTCAAAATGTCTTCCTGGTTTGTGACGTAAGCATGAATAGAGCCTGATAGGGGTAAAATAAATATTGTTAAAATACAGATTTGTGTTGTAATAAGGTGAGTTCTTGGGTCTAGTCACTAATTGAAATGATCAGGTTCAATATTTGTGAATTCAATTTTAGATATTTCATGGCAAAGTACAGTGTAATCAATAGACAAAACTGCCTCTTGCCCCCAACCTGGGAGTATGGAAGCATCACATCTATATCTTTTATGTTTTCATTTTCTACGTTTTTGCATTTTGCTGCACATGTCACTCCATCTCTGGATCACATTCATCCATTCGTTTATTATACTGTCATGAGTATGTTCAAATATATCCGTTAAGCATGAATACTGAAAAACTTAATTACAGAAGTTGAATGCAGGCGCTGCTCCTGACAGCCTCTCACCTGTCTGTCTGCACATAGTTACAGCCATATCCATCCTCCTGGACTTTGACACCTCTCTTCTCTCCTGTCAACAACATCTCCTCCACCCTCAGAATGAAAGAACGAGAGGGGCCAAGGAGAGAGGATCAACCTGCTTATCGGTACTTCAACACGTAGGAGAGATGATGAAAACTACTGCAGAGCTATACTTAGGAGAGAAAACACTTTCTGACTGGCCCTAATAACAAATAACTGAAAATCATCACATCTTAAATTCAGTGATGGAATGTAACAGTGCTGTACTTAAGTATGCATATAGGTTATATATCTATCAAGTAGGTATCTGTACTTTACTTGAGAACATTTTAGAGTGGATAGCTGTGTTTTCCTTTTATTTCACTGCATTTGAGAGCATGTATCTGTACCTTCTACTCCACTATATTTTTGAACAGGACTGAAAAATAAAGGTTTTTTTTTACTATTATTGTGAGACCTTCTGAAAAAGCTGAGGATTTATTTTTAACAGGTTCAGACTAAAATATACAAATAAAAATAGTAAAAACAGATAACGATTGATTCAAATGTTTCTGCTGAATAAAATTCAGAACAAATCTTTAATAACAGATCTACATTTGAAGATTTATTAGATCTCAAAATCTGCATGAAATACTTTTACTTTACTTTTACTTATTACTCTTTAAGTACATTTTTAAAGGGGCATAATTTTACTTAAGCTGATTTTTTTCATGTGATACTTTTACTTTAGTATTTTTTGTACTTTTATTCAAAAGTGCATTGTGTAACTTTTTTGGTGGAGGGTCCGTCAAATGCTTTTTTTCCATGGAGATGTTATTTCTTTAATGTTTCACAGTATGGTATTAAACCTTTCTATCTTCAAGGAGACCAAACCAGACCAAGTTACTGGTCAGATTTGTGGAGAGGTGACCCCACTCATAGTCAGAATGCCTGTTTTTCTAAATATTTTTGAGCTATAAACCACCTACAGTTGAATAAATGTAAGGTAAAGCTGTTTAATGTCATACTTTGGAATATTCCAAGCAGAGTAATGACATCTCCATAAACAAGCAGGTGACAGACCCCCAACCAAAAAGTTACATAGTATGTCTTTACATATCAAAGGCGAATACTCCTTCCACCTGCTAAATATCATCGTCACATCTTAAATTAGACCTTTCTACAGGAGTTATTTAAGCCTCTGTGTGATGCTAGGATGTATGGATCTAGTGCTTTTACTTACTATGCAGTTAGACCATTACTCACAGGTTATTCTGTCATCAAAATACGTATCGACTCATTTCTCTCATGGAAATATGTAAATGTTAAGATTCCACTCACACAAGGTCAAATGTCAGCAATATAAATCCCTAAGTACATGGGGAGGTTGTGGGTTCAATCCCCAGGCAGACCACGTTCTCATAGTCTTCTCCTATCTTATCTTCTACACTCCAAGCACCAAGATAAACGGAAATACCTCAAATGGAGAAATGTTTATAGCTGCCAGTTCTTGCACATTCAAAATATAAAAGCTCTTGAAATGATTGTAAAATTTTAAACTTGAAATTGAGAAATATTATGATTTTACTGATATTGATCAAGCCCATATTCAAGGTTAAATTTTCTCCTTTTGTGTGAGAAAAACTGACTGTGAGTTTTAAGACAAGTTTAAGACAACTACAAATGTTACTGCATCAGAAACATACCAGAGTTGTGTTTCGTATATCTCCAAAGCTCAAAATGCTCAGTTAAACCTTGAGATAATGGTTAACAGCCACCTTTTAGTTTTGTTGAGAAGAGATTGGAAATTCCACAGCTGAAATTATCCAAATGATTCTAGTGAAGGTGTAAGAAGTTTAAAAACACAGTGGAACACTTCATATCGCCACATGACATCACAGGGTGGAACAGAGTGTTTTGTTTGAAAGAACAGGATTCGAGTATTAAACGTGTGTATGAAACAAAACCAACACAACTCCAGACCTGTTTTTGGTTTAGGAAATAATGTTATAAAAATAAAACAGAACCTCAGAAAACAGTGTAATAAGAGTCCTTTAAGTAATGACCTTCTCAAATAACTATGTACTTTTGAAACTACTTCTATTGATACCGGAGTAGACCCATAAATTTATTTGACAACCCTATATCAAATACAAAAATCTCCTGACACTTCTGACTATACCATAACTGAACAGCTATATGATCGTATGTAACGCTCTGAGGTAGAAAATCAATCTGAGGCGTTTGGTGACATCTTATCCATCCTCACCCCGGACAGGAATGTGCTTTCTGGCTGAATTTAAAGGTGTGGTGTTTCCCCTCTGCGTACATGGCTCCCCTTTAAAACACACAGAACCTGACACTCTGAGTATTTACAGACAGTATACCTATAGTGTAGCTACGTGCGCATTGTGGAGCGCGCTGAAAGAGCAGTGTGTTACAGCCAAGCACCGCTGCTAATTTAGTCTTATATATCCTATTTCCCAGCGGCCTTGAGGACCCGGGTAATAGGGGGCGGGCTTGTATTATCCTTGAAGCCTTCTCAGTATCCATTATCCAGCTGTTTATGCGGAGATGTAATGATTAAAACGCTTTGCAAGATGGATCGCTATGGTGCTTTTCTGAAATGCAAATATTCTCCTCCAAAACATCAATTACTCAAAGCTGCGCTCTCAGAAACACCGCGGTGACAATGCGGAGCTTTTCTGACTATGCTGTACATCTGACATTTGTGAATCAATCAAAGAGCGCCGCCTTGACATGATAGTTATGGATTATTTTATTTCATTTGACATTGAGGAAAGGAAGTTTAATTCATGCAGTAGGGGCGAAGACCAGACTTTAAAGATCCTACATTACTCTTGTGAGTTTAAAGCCATGTTAGCCCTCCTCAAAGACACTTGTGTTTTATTGAATTTACAGACTTCATTATTAGTCTGTGCTTCATTGTTTGAGGGGAAGGCATTCTCTTAATCAAATCAAGATCCAAAGATCCATTTCAAATTATCAATGATCAGTTTGGCTCTTTTTAATCAAGACGTCTACAGTCTGTCAATGGTTTAAAAACCCGTGGAGGGAGAACTAAGTCTGACTTTGAAGGAATAGGTTTTGTTAAGTGGCACTGATTGTGGCACTGATGAAGTCTGTCATGAAATTCATATTAAAAGCCATTTCGATCTTTTGTTTTTAATAAGAGGTGGCATAACATTGTCTATCACGTTGACAGAAAGTGTTTACCATTTGAAGTCGTGACTTGGACTCGAGTCAGACTTGAGTCACTATTTTCAAGACTTGCGACGTCACTTGATAAAATGGACTTAGACTTGGGACTCGACTTGGGCTCAGTGATTTGGGACTTGACACTTGAGAAGCACTTTTAAATCGGAATTCTTTCTATTCTGACCATAATGATTCACTGTAAGATCTTGCAAAGACATTTAAAAAGAAAAAAATAACTAAATACATTTCTATAACTCTTGTATATGAATATACTATGATTTTTAAGTAGTTAATTTAAAAATTCATGTAAATTGCTAAAATCTAAGCTATATTTGGTGTTTTGGTTTATAAGACTTGAAATGACCTGAAGCTCAAAGCAGACGACTTGGACTTGACTTGGACTTATGGGCCAGTCACTCGAGACTTGGACTTGCCTGTATTTGACTTGGGACCTGACTCGGCCTTGATTCGAACTTGAGGTCAAAGACTTGAGACTTACTTGAGACTTGCAAAACAATGACTTGGTCCCACCTCTGGTCATAGCCAACATCAGAAGCAAAGCAACAAAAATAAGTCAATAGAATAATTACATTTAATTAAACAAAAAGACTTAAGTAACATCTTCCATAAGTTAACCCAGTTTCCCAAATTTAGATCACAAAATACAACTGCAAACATGAAGCTCTGGCTCATAATATAACTGAAATTTGGATCAAAATAAACAGAGCATAACAAGAGTATAGTGGTCTTAAATAGATCTGTCTTATTTGTTGCATTTTCATGTATGCTTTTACTGTATACAATTTAACTAAATAAGCATGTGTAGTACTTTTACAAATGACAGACCATCAAATGCAGAGGCAGTTATTTTTGGTTTTCAGAAAGTGATTTGTTTTGAAGTCCTGCTTTATTTATTTAAAATCACAGATGTCTGATCAGAGTTGCTTAATTTCAGCCATAGATGGTCTGATCTCTATTTGTATGTGTCAGAAGTAGACCAGATGAAAGATGAGAAACATTTTCAAGCTCTCATCATCTCTGTGCATTCCACAAGAGGCCTGTTCAATTGATTTTGATCAGACTCAATACTGTTTTCTATCTGAAGCAAAAAAAACCTTACTGAAAAAGTCAGCGGTGTTTTCATTAGCCTCCATCTGGATAGACAGGGAACAGCATCAATCTTACTTGACAGAGTCCCTCACAACTATCACAGAAAACAGGTGACGCTGGGCTAAAGCGAGATTTAAAAAAAACATAGATTGTACAACACTTCCCTCTAGTGGAGAAAGAAGTCATGACAGCTCGGTAGTTTAGAAAAGTATAGTTTACTTGAATTTCATTATAAACGTCTACATGTAACACAAAAACAGTAACAGAGACAAACTTTTATACATACATACATTTTTTCATACAAAATTGGTCAGGAATGTCTGTCAAAGGATTAGGAATTATGATATGAAGTTAAAGGATTTAAAAGTAGAAGCCTCTTTGATTTGAGTTGAGCATGAAACTTGCATCTTTGTAAAATGTAAAACGGTAGATTGAGTTTGAATTGTGAAATAGTAACTTGGATATGTTACTATGTGAAATACACAAAGACACATGTAAAAAGCGCATGTTCAAGCAAAACTAGAGTATCTATAACAAACACCAAACATGAAAAAATCTCAGTTTGCATGGACTAGATGAAAACAGTGCATTTGTTCTACTGCAAAGCTGATAGTAGCTGCGTTCCCTTTATAATCATCATTTTGACCCACTTTCAGCTAGTGACATGAAGGCACTTGAGTCTCTTACAAAAGTCTTCCCCATTTGATTTAAACACCTTGCCTTTCCATTATAAAACAGGTTGACAGTATAAATATTCTTGATGTCAATTGAAAATAATGTACTGCATATGAACAGACTGGATTGTAAGTGTTAACGCTTATGGACAGAATATTTTTATGACTCTGAATCACCATGGCGTTAAGGGATTTTACAGCCATAGCTTGAGGGCAGCGTCAATGGCCTCAGCTATAAGGCTTGAGCCAGACACAAAGCTGACATCACATACTGCCCTCATTGCACCTTATGAAGTAATAAAAACACACTCACACTACACTTCAGTGTGTCTCTAACTATAACCTAAAGAATAGAAAGGCAAATTGGTATTGAGATCGGTACCAGAGAGGAACAGACCTAGCCCTGGTTGTCTGGCTGTGCGGGGGTTGGGGGGGCATGTCTTGGAGGAGATGGGGTATAAGGAGGAGGGGCTTCTGTAGCGCTTATAGAGGCTGCTCCTTCTCTGCTTACTGCTGCACTGTCACTGCGGGTGCACTCACTGTACGGAGGGGGCTTTAGCTCGTCCTCTGGAAGAAGCACAGTACACCATACACATTATTTACAGCAAGGAAAAAAAAATCCTTTGGCGCAGACCTCCTCATTTTTGCTACAAGCCCAAGTGCAACCTTGTGTATCAAAGTGAGTTTGTGATTCAGCTACTGACTTAAAGGTCAAATGAAGTAGTTTTGGCTGTAGGCGGCCGTTATCTCACAAGTCATTTCAAACTTTTTATGTATATCCTTGACATTCAAAGAAAAGGGCTCTGTGTTTCAGCAGCGAAAAGCAAAGAGTTAAAAAAAGAAGCAGCTAGAATTCATGTAATGACTGTACATTAGAACGACATTGTCTACAGCAGAGGTGGGCAATTATGTTTTACCCGAGGGCAAAATTCAAACCCAGACATGTAGTGAAGGGCCACACCATAGCAGTCAATGGTGTAACAAGTTCAGCAGACTACAGATGAAAAATGTACCAATTCAGGCTTTTTTTTTTTTTAAATTCATGTTTCACGCACACATCACTACAATCATATTTATTATAAAAACATGCAGGACCAAGGGAGTGTTACCTCTAGAAACAGCATCATATGGAGGTGGCATGTCCAAGTGTGAGAAGGAGGGAGCAGCGGGTAGAGCTGAAGAGGCCTCTTCTACTGACAAATCATCCTGAAACAAAAACACAGCATTGCACTTTTGCTTCAAGTAGTGACTTAAAGGAGCATTGAAACAGAAAAATAAATAGTCAGCTCCATATTCTTACAACCACAGCTTTATTACAATACTGTAACTAGAGGTGTAAATTCTCAGAGAAACATTGCAGTCCTTAAAGAAACCTATGTGGTTTACAGTGGCACAGTGGAACTCCCAAACTGCACTCTACTACAGAGATAATACATCAGGTCTTTTTCCAGTTTGTTTGATTTCCCCAAACTCGACTCGTCCTGGCATTTCTCCAAAGCACTTTCAGGAAGGTTATAGATGACCACTGGGCCTCCCTGCTGCACATTCCATTAAAATCTTAACTGGGAACACAATACACCAGAGACAGCAGTTGTACAATGTCTAGAATAGGGCAAAACACACATGGACAAAGGAAATGCAAGAAAAGTAAATAGTGCTATTAGCTTTCATAAGAATGTAGCTAAATATTTATTTCCATTTCTCATCCGGGAGTGTTTTTAAATGGAGCAATCAGTCAGTCATTAGTGTCACAATACACACACAAATGTCAATACTAGGGAAAAGGATTTCTTCTTGATTATAGACAGTAAGACACTAGTTTTATTGTTTGTTGCATTTCTTTTATATCCACTTTTTTACAACTTCATCAGGCAAGAAAAAATAGGCAACATGGAATACAAATGTCATATATGGACTCAATATGTTGTAAGTGAAGTTAAAGCTACCGCCCTAAGATTTTAGTCAGATTTCAAAACTGACTGAAATAAAGCAATTTATTCCATTACAGGTGTAATTTATTGTAAAGGGGCTTATCTATGCACTTGCTTGTCTCCATAGAGATGCTCTTAATATTCAAAAATTCCACAGAATGGCATGAAACCAGCCTGTTCTAAAACTATGTTTTTTAAGTTTGGGTTCAACTTTCTATCTCCGTGGAACCATGCAGCAATCTTACGCAGTGCTGCTTGGTTATTTCATTTGAGAGTTGCTTTTACCAGTTCCTTATTGTTTTGTAATAAGATGAATAACAGACTTAGAAGTGGAGACAACAGGATGACACACACAGAGACACATACACACACACCTACACACAACACAGCACTGAAACAGGGCTGTCTCCTCTGCGCTGAAGTGACTCTAACCACATGACCCTTTGACTGAGCAAACAACTTCTTTGATAAAGCACACTACAGGCTTAATCTAAAAGCCCACTCTAGTTCTACATTTTTGTTCCACATTTTCAGCTCATGTGCTCTAATTGTAATGCACAGGCATCCTTATGTGAAAGATTTTCTAATCTAATTTTGCATACCGGGCATATCATATACTAATTGATCAATAATAATTTAAAAAATAAGTATTTAACACAGCTGCAAAAAAGTTAAGTGTCACTTTTGTGGTTAGAAATATTGAGAGATTGATTTTTGCCAGTAGCTTTTCCCCTAGATGCAGTTTGACACTTACACTCTGTCTTTCACACATCTGATGGAGGTATGCTCTTCCTCCCACAATGACGATTTGAGCATTGCGAGGAGTTCTCAGGAAGGCTGCCAGCTGCCTCTGTGTGGACCGGTACCAGCAAACATAGAAAAAGATTTTGATGATGATGAATACAACCACAACTCTGAAAAAGAGACAGGAGAACAAAGTCAGTATTGAGTCTAAAGAAGTAAACTTTTTTACTCAAATGGGCACTTACATGTACCAGTACAACTCCATGGTGAGTTCAGTGACCTCTCATCAGCTGAGCAATTCACTGCTCCTTAAAGAATCATCTGTAACAAAATAATAAGTCGTTACTATTGAAACGATCAAAGTCTTATTTCGGTTTGTGACTTCTGAAAAATTTAAATATATAAAGATGCAATTTAACACGGTTTGAAAACAACGTGGCAATGTCTGCCCGCTGCTTTATTCCTCTAATTATGTGTCATTCTGTTATAATGGGTTAGAATCTAACAGCACAGACGTAGCACTAGGAGGATGGCACATGGCGCAAATGAGGAATATGCTCTTATCTTCCCTTTTTAAAAAAAAATCAATTTTACCAGTTGTGTTGGTATAATAATAAGGCAGCAATATCAAAGTTGAAATCTAGTTAACGATAGAATATTTGTAGTTACAACAGACAAACTTGTGCAGCTTCTTACTTTGTTGAAAATGCTCCTCGGTTCAGCTTGTACGGTGTGCCATTTCCTTCGGGTGAAAGTGGCTTTAGAGCAGAACCACGCAGACAGACACAGGCCACAACAAAAACAGATGCTGCCTTAGCTAGTTAGTTAGCTAGGCACGGTTAAAAGGAGCCACACTGCCGTTTAAATGTACTTCAGATAGATAACATAGAAGAACAACACATTAGGTTATTACTCATCAATAAATTAGAAAAATCAACGCAAAAATACAGAAACAGTCGCACAAATTGCCCACTAGCTCATTTTAGCAGACCTGTGCCTTTCTTTGGCTTAGGGGGCGGGGCTCACACACGCTGCCTTCAGCGTGCTACGTAACGCCCTGCCTGGGAACACCCCCTTTGGGTTTACGAACCAATCATTTTTCAAAAAAAAAAAGAAAAGAAAAAAAAGTAGAAAAAATATATTATACAGGGTTCACATTACTCAGAGGGGAACCCTGAGGGTCTTCATGTTATTCAGTGAAGGCCCAAGAAAAAACACTGAAAGAATTTTTGTACTACTAATATATTTTTTCTATATTTTTTATTCAGTGAGTAGAAACACTACACTAGTAAGGCTAATATTTCTTGGGAAACAAAGGGTTAATATTATGGAATGGAAATGGACCAATCACAATTTTTCTTCCAATGGTATCTGGGTAAATCAGTGGCTCCCCCTGCAGGCACTAAACTACAGAAACACCTGCAGGGCCTTCGGTGGCTGTAGCGAAGGCCCGTGCAATTCAAATCAATCTGGGGATGAATTTGAGTTTGTCAGTTGTCTTAGCCAGTCATTTTTCATTGAGTTATGGATGGGATCATATCATGACACCTTCCGAGCCTTCACGAATACTCCTGTGATATATGATATATATGATATATAAGCGAGACTACAGCGTCAAAAAATGCGCTGGACGCCTCTATCTGGACACCTCGGGGGTGTCTGAAAGAAAGAAAAGGAAAACAAAGACCCGAAAACCAGAGTTCGGAGCCCATTAAACAAATATGTGAAGTGAATGTCCGATTCGCTTAATTAATTAATTAATTTTTTTAAACAGATGATGACATGATAGCCAGCAGTTGGTCCTAGTGAAGGCCCAGGGTCCAGGTCCAGGGTTCGCCACTGACATTACTTAACTGGAAACTTTTTTCCTCCGTGTTCTGTTTTTTTTAGTTTATCTGTAATAATTATAATATTGCTCCTAGTGCAACTCTGGCTCCATCAGGTGGTGACTATACTGTAAAAACACTGTAAAAGCAAAATTCAGTTTTTAAATTGTATAACTCCGTAACTCTAAAATATGCAGTAAAATAAAACGAAAATTGCAGTGTTTTGATGACTTTTATTCATTTAACAATGCATTTGGTTTTATTTGCATTACATATATAAATTGGCTTTATAAATTCACTCCCCTTATTCTAACAGTTGTGTTTTAGTGTAGGCTTCTACCGATTATCCTCCACAATGATGGTTCTTCGTGGATAAGTGTCTACTTCCACAAAAATGTAGCGAAACTCGTATCTTCCAGTCTCAGGATTCTGTCGAAAAGCAAGTGACAGTAAATTGCCCATAAATCGTCCATAAACAACACTTTGATCAATATCAGTAGATTACCTCTTTGGATTCTGAATGGACTGTTCCTTTAATTCCTGGTTCTGAACCTTCAATGTAAAACTTAAGCCTCAAATGCTTAAGTCCATCCTTGAGAAACTCAAAATGACTGAAGTAAAGAAAAAAAAAAAGCTGCTTAATGCAAATAATTTTGTGTATGGCGATTTTGTGATATAACAGCAGGGAAATATTTCTCACCTGACATGCTGTCTTCTACCACGACGAGTAGTTTCACCATAACATTTGATTGGTTCCCCAAATGCACCAATTACCTATATGGAATTAAATATAAAAATAATGCCAAATGATAAGTTTTTTTGATCCATTTAGATGTAACTCAAAAAACTAAACTCACCTCAGGGTTTGACTTGACTAAGTTGAAAGCTTTACCGTAAACCTTATTTGGACTGGAGGATGAGAAAAGTTCCTGGAAAAGCACATAGAGAAGTCCACCTATAAAAATAAAGTCACCCAGATATTAAAAACAAACAAACAAAAAAATTAATTATACTTCTTATAGATTCTTATGCATTGTTATGTATTGACCTCTACTTGTTTCTGCATAGTTTCAGTTGCACTCACCTTCCTGAGAAGTGTTAGGTGATGTTGCTGTGATGTCTCTTGCCAGATGATTTAAACAGATTATGGAGCTGTCTTCCTACTTGTAGCAGTATGACAACAGCGCCATCTGCAGTCCGACTTCTTCAGAACTGTATCCCAGGTGTGAGAAAGTTGGTAGGCCCCCTCATTCCGATGTACTGTCTGGTGCATTTAGTTCCAGATATTGAGGGCCTCTGATCCAAAGATGATATTTGTTGCTCTCTGTGCCTATGACCTTAGTGCTGACACATGTGATACTGCTCTGAAGAAGTCTGTAGATGGGGCTGTTGTCCTACTGCTACAAGTATGAAGACAGCTCAAAAATCTGTTTAAATCAGCTGACCAGACACTTCACAGCAAGGAAGGCAGCAGACTGCAATCCGAAATTGTCAGGGTAAGAACTAAATAGACATCTGTACAACAGAATCTAAGGTACAATCAATACAGAAGACGTAATGAACCTAATGGGATTAAAAACACTAATGAAATGTGCATATGATGAGAACAGGTTACATTGCTGTATAAGGAGAGTCTATATAATGTTGCATATTAACAACTATATAAAGAGAAGAGAGAACGTTTATTTTACCTACAGTTAGGAAATTTCTATATTAATATATACTTCGAATAAAATTAGATACAATATAATGTGGACTATAAAGAATAAAATAACACAAAACACAATAAGTGGCACTTATTATAAGACAAATCACTATAATAAGTGGCTTGGACTTTGGATTAAAATGCACATCCGATTTAAAGATGGGATGGCGCAATAAAGATTTAAAATATTTAAAATAATAACCCAGTGAAGAGATTGGACTTGTGCCCACTTAATAATATTGTAAATGAAATAATATTTTATTCAAAATGTGCCAAATACCCTACAAACACACTGACTTCAGCTCGGAAAGGTCAGATATAAAACAATGCCAGATGTGTGTTGTGTGTAGTTACCTGTAACTCCAAGTCCAATCAGTACAACAATCAAATAGGTGAAATCTCTGCCTGCGTCTTTGACTGTAACAGACACCGCGTGTTAGACGAAACAATTGCCTTTAAAAGCGTCTCAGTTCATTGAAGCCGTTTACCTTTCTGTGCAGCAGACGCCTGGGGACTCCCACCTTGAAATCTGGAGACAGATTTCCCTCTGCTCTCCTCTGGACTACTTTTATTCCTGTTGCTGCAGTCGACAGAAATCCCTCTCCATTTTATGATCCGTATTAAACAATTCACGGTGCAAAGGTCCGGGGCTGTTCTCCTTTGAAAGGATGATCTTGAAGTTGCAAAAACAGCTCTGTCCGTGTGACCGATGAAGCGAACGTGTGCAAGTTTACAAGACTTCATCATATACCGAGACACTGTTTGTGGTAAATTACAATGAAGTGCTTTAAATATCTGTGCATAAGCCATGGTAGCTTGTCCCCTGCTAGCTTTTGATGCTAGCTTTGCAGCAACAGCTGTGAAAGAAATAAGCCTCACAATGTTTTAAAAACAATCATCGCATCATATTGTAATTATTGGTAATAAAAAAGCATCAACATGTAGAATAGAAACATCTAAATAAATGAAAAAGTCAGTTGACCCCAACACAGAAGCAGTAGCATGTTTACCATTAACTCACGTGGTGTAGTTACGTCGATGACGCAAGTACGTTGCAAAGAAAGGCATTATGGGAAATGTAGTACAATTTTGGAAGCAACACTTTTAGATTTTCTCATAGTAAAACTGAGCCATGCAAATGATAAAGTAGTTCACACCTGTTTTTATGTCATATCATATGGTTTAGGTAAACAAAAAGCACACGGATCCATAAACATTCTTTTTTATTAAAAAAACAAAACAAAACAAAAAACATTCGGTCCAGCATTTCTTAATGTGATATCAAATCATTATGCAAATAACTAGAAGCACCACAATGCAAAGAGATTGGGACCAGAAAAAATAACTTATAAACAAATGGTTAACAAAAGGTTAGTAGCTGAAATAGATTATAAACCCTTAATCAGTATCAGTACCATCAATCTCATCAACACTGTTGTGTTAATATTTTGTCATACTAAAAATAATAATAGAAATGTGATCATTTATGCCATTAATGATAGTAAAATGTATTTCAAAAACCTGATAATTTCTTATCGTCTACATTAAAGGTACTGTAAATTTCTTTGTCCCACATCTAAATAATCATTGTCCCATGGCTCATCACTCCTGAAGCCAGTCATTCACAGTTATGCATCTCTGCTGTCCCATTGAAACAAGTGCACACATTCTCTACAGAGGAACAGTTCATTCAAGATGCACAAAGAGAGAAAAGGTTTAGCTCCCAGTGCAGTCAGACTTGGCAAGAAGCAGAGGAATGTTGCACCTGTCTGAAGTATCTGCAGAAAAATAAGAATACTATTATTTTTAAAATGATACACAGTCGTCACTCTTTACAGTTCTGAATGGACCCACATTCAATTGTACAATTTTCAGATTTAGGATGATTTATGTTTTTAGGGACACCATTGTCCCAAAAGGTAGGCCTCACCCAAATTAAAGCCAAGAGATGAAACAACACAGAGGATAAAAATATTCCATGCTAATATGGATTTATACATCTATAAGGGAAAACTGTGTGTTATGTTACATAATTCTAAAATGTTATGATATTTAGACAGCCTACTGTATCATATATTCAATATACGCTCTTTATTCAATTTCTGGATCTTATTAAACAGATATAGGAAAATAAAAAAGAACATGGGACATAAATGAGGACAAACAAAGTAATGTGAAGCTTTATTGTATTATTCATTTTACAAAGCGTTAATAAAATCAGCCCTGAAATTTCACTGGAATAACTTCAAAGTGTCATTCTGTCAATTAGCCCTATGAAAATCTGTTACAAAGATCTCAAGCTTCAACAATGGGAGAAGGGAAGAATAACAGTTTTAAGTGATCATGTTTGTCAGTAAATAGAATGAAGATGCTTTAGAAAAAAGAATTATGTTGAGATGAATACTGATCTAACCTAAGGAGTGTGACAGGAAACTACATGCAGTGCCATCAAATTACTTTCAGGAACATGTCTTAAAATTTAGTGATGTTGGTAAATGAAACATGCATAATCCATAAATCTAAACCATTCATTCTTCACTTTAAGTTTCTCTGCCTAACTCCTAGGGTTTACTGATAAATAATGTAATAAATATGCACTAAATAAAATAATGATAACGGTTTAAATCATAGTAATGTGATTCCAAATTACATGCTAGGAAATGAGTTGCGATAACATTAATTTGAGTGAATTTAAGACAGTTCAAAGGTCCATTTCTTCATCTAAGTCTGCTGTATTTAAGCTCTTCTCCAGAGCAGAGTAGCAGCAGTGACCATAGTCCCATTATGTTTAGTTCATACTGATATCCAGTGCTCAGTGTGTCCCTCATCAGCATCATGCTGGTGTGAATCCACGCTCCGCTTTCTCATATTTCAGTGAGGCCCGTTCGTACTGATCCAGGATAGCACTATTCTCAAGAAGTCTACATGATGGAGACAATGCAACACAACGTAGAACATAAGCAGACAGACACAACAGAGCATTAGAACATTAAGAACAAAGAGTAGCACTTCATGTGATTGCCCTGTCAAACACCAGCATGGCAACTTTCCATTTGAATGATACATTTGAGCCATATTTACACCTTTCTTTAAAAAAAAAAAGAGTTGGGGCAAACACATAAAATGTTACACAACATGAACTACATGAACACTACTGTTTGTAACACAAAAGTATATGACATACAGTCATGCAATACTTGAGATAACTGTCAAGATCTGCAACTCACAAGAACATTGCACATTTCTTATAATGTACTATATTCTGGAATTTTACAGTATCTCTGTTTTGTTAGAGGTTACACAACCAAACGGTCAAATGAAAAGGTCCATGCTCACAAATACATGAATATACATAGACAGTATGCAGTATGTCCCCAGAACTATGAAGACATAGGGCAAACTAGAGCATACACTTCTAATAACAAAACCTGCTACAACAAGATGGCTGCAAGCAAGAGACCCATCTTGGTAAAAAAAAAAAAAAAAAAGAAACATAAAGAAAGTAGGCAAATAATGACTATATACAACAACAGAGAAACATGTGGACTGTTGGGTAAGGGGGCTTACCTTGAGATTGTCTCCTAGACCCTAGTTGTGTTGTACTCTGATTCATGTTTGCTCAAAGAGCCAATGAGGCAGAACCTGAAATGTCACGGCTCTTTTGTTTAATATCAAACTCTTGTTTTGCATAGATCATGTGCTTCCTAACAGTCATAAATGCAATTCTAAAAACAGTGATGAGTCTTGCATGCAGACTTCATCAATAACACTAATATGAACTACATGCAAGTATATCCAAAAAACTTGCCATAACTTTAAGTAAACAACTATTAAATTTCAAAGATCAAGGTCAAGCTTAAAATACTTTCTTTTATAAAAAATACCATGCCAAAATACTGCAATTTTACTTTGAAAAACTGTTTAAATGCTGTGCTGTGACTAATATCTAGGAGCAAGAGGCACTGGTTCAAGCCCTTTATAGTCAGTATAAGACTGAATATGACATAACATCTTTCATTTAAACTTTAGTGCATATGTCGGCAATATCTAATATACATTTTCTATAAAACTAGAGCAGATGAAGTGCTGAAAGTGTTCAACAAAGTGCATGCAACAAGGGGCAAAATAAGTATATTTTAGCCCTTTAGTTATTTAGAAATTAATGGTAAGTAAAGCCAAAAGAAGCTTGTTATAATTTTCAAAATTATGAATAAAAGCTAAAATGGGAGAAAAACATAAAATGTAATCCATAAAGTAAATTCTATGCTTGTTGTTGTTTGATCAGAAATCTATAGATACTGACCGCTGTACGGCCTTCTCGTGGCGTGAGAGCCTGTGGCTGGTGGTGGGCACTTCCTCCATGTCGTCGTCCAGGTCACAGCCATTGTCCGCTGCCTCCTGTGAGTAGCTGTGCTTCATGACCAGGATGCTTCTGCGGTTCCCTGTCCCAGGCAGCAGGGGGCGCACGGACATGGGGGCCTGTGGGAGGTCTGTCAGGAGAGTGGCTGCTTCTCTGGTGCTCAAGTTTCCTCTACTGCCTCTGCCGCTCAGAGACAGCTGGGAGAAGTGTGCTGAGCCCGGGTTGGATGAGGAACCACAGTGGTGATCATGGACACACCTGGAGGAGGCTCTTCTGAGGGCGTGGTAGTTCTCAAAGTCCTCAGCCAGGTCCACCAGGTCTGCAGAGGCCGCTGCAGCAGAGGTGGTGGAGCGTAAAGTGCACAGCTCGTAATGTGGCGGCTCAAAGACCTCCTGGAAAAGAGTGGGGTCAAAGTCCTCACGACGCAGGATATACTTTTTACGAGGCTGTTTGATCTGAACTATGACGGATACGATGAGAAGGAGGAGCACGATGCAGCAGGTCACCCCGATGATGGTGCCATTTGTGTTGTTCAGGTTGTCCAGGATGTTGGCTTTTCTTTTCTCTGTTAAAACAAAGTTACAACAGTTCAAAATATGTTTTTATTTGCTTTATGATTGCATAAGATATCCTGTTTAGCCTCTATTGGAAACATTGTAGAGTTGGGTGTTTGGGTTTGGTTCACAGGCGCTACCACATTTCCGTACAAGAACATTATCCATACAACATACAATGCCTCCTCTTTATATGTCCAGTTTGGCCTTTCTGACTTTGTTTTCTTATTTTTTCGGTCTCCAATCTGTTATTTCCTTTCATTTTTGTTCACATTTGGTTCATATCTGACAACTTCCTGCACACATTTTAACATATCTGCTCCTCTTCACCTCTTTTTTAAACTCTGTGCTCTGGACTGTGGAGCTCATTCAAACCCTGCTGTCTAAGGATTTATTGTTCTTATGTTAAATCATCTTGACAAATGGACCCCCTCATGTAGGGCTCACAGCAGTTACATTTGTCCTGCTTAATATCCATTAGATGTGGCATGGTGTGACATTTGAATATTGCATGAGCAAGCCCTGCACAGACGAACAGAGCCTTCGTCACACAGAGATTACATTCAAGAGCACAGAAAGAAGGGGATCAAACCTGACATTTGTCACTAATGAAAACACACTTGACTGAGTGGAGAGTAATGTGTTGAGAAACCAACCACTTACAGGTCCTATATTATGCTAAATTGATGTTAATGTAATAATGCTGTTACCTCATCAAAACATACTTGTGTTGGAGTTGTGTTTTGTTTCATTCACACATGAGTAATCCTTTATTATTACTCTGTCTGCATCTTTCAAAATGCTCTGTGCACCTTATGATGTCATGAAGTGGTAGTTTTCAAGTTAAGAGCTACAATTTACCTTTAGTTCAGTGGAGATCTCTAGCTATGTTTTTGATGAGGAAACAACATATCTACATAAATCAGAAACAGTGTAATATGGGCCCTTAATATGCGATAATAGATACTTGCATCTTTTGAAACTACAAATTAGCAAGTGTAACAGAAATCATAATAGTTATTAAGCCAGACTAATTTCGACATATTTTGGTTCAAAGATAAAAAGAAACAAACTATATATATATATATATATATATATATATATATATATATATATATATATATATATATATATAAAACTATAGAGTGAGGAAGGTTTTAAGGAACACAATAAAATTTATAAATTTTAAAGTTTGGAAATGGTCAAAAAAATACTAAAGCAACAAGATCCACAAAGTAGTTTAATGCACTTTTAATGTACTTTGATATGCCCTGAAGAAACGTGTAGGCTAGTCCCGGATTTTACATTAAAGGACTTTTTAATGCAATTGGAATACCTCAGTTTTTTTCTCCTAAATGTATGTAAGTGATGTTTTTCCACTGTGATCCTGAAGAGCACCTGACCTGATACTTAATTGATCCACTGAAGCACTCACGCTCTTTGCTTTAAGTTTAATGTACTAGTTGTATTCTGATTATAAAAGTAAGCTCAAAATGGTTTTCAGTGTTATTATTATAGAAGCTAAGAGACTGGAAAGGCTGAGCTCACTTTTCACGTTGTGAGTCACAGTGAACACTTTCATATATATGCTGAAAAAGCAAGTACACTCACTGTCACCTCAAGTGAGTGACACATCCTAATTGCTTACTACGCAGGACAACATCATTAAAAACCCACTGCATGTATTGATGTTTGAGGTCTTATCCAACGGCCCCAGTGGAGCTGCAGAATGGATCTTAAGTTATGTAGTAGAAATATAGTGATGGATGGAGAAAGGTCAGGCTGCAGTAAAGTAATTAATGAGAGATATAGGACCGCCTGATCCCCCGAGTCCACGCGCATCTCAGGGAGTACTGGACAGCAACATACGTCACTGAAATCTGAAGTGAGACAAGCAGATAAATTATGAAGACACACAGCAAACACAGGGGATCAATGTATGGATCCAGGGGCTTTAGGAGCTGTCCACAAGAGACTGGCCGCAACACAACGTACGAGAATATTCAACTTCTTTGCAGGCAAAAATACATGTAAGTGCAGCAAAATAGGACACCAGCTCATGTTTCAGTGTTTATAGTTGTTGTTGTAGTTTTGCCTTGACCTATGAAAAGCAATATTCTTTTGGCAAATTTGTTATGACTGTCAATTGTGCTATGATGAATATTATTTAAATCAATGTATTAAACAGGCTAGTAACAATGGAAATAGCCACACCCACCCTCTTTTTTTTTTTTTTTATTATATCCTATATCCTTAAATTGTGTAGTAATGTTTTTTTTAATTCTGTACATAAATTGCAAAATTAACTTACAAAATAGCGATTATTAAGCTTGTCTGGACAACAGCTAACTCTGATATATCTGATTAAACCACAGTTTTTCAAACTAAAGTGAAAAGTTACTAGACCAGTGAATAGCAAAACTCAGTGTCGCTGTCCATGGTGAAACATTTTAGTATTATTTGGGTGCTTTGGACAACAACAAATTTTTATATATTTGATTAAACCACTCAGAGAATATAACTATATCATTTAATTTTTTGATAGTAAAGAGAAAAGATACTAGTCTTGTGGATTAGAGCCCTGCACTCCCGCAGGCCTACGCAAAATAGTGCGGAGAGGGACACATTTTGAAAGCTCATTGCGGGTGCAGACAGGAGCGAGACTACACAACGCAGGAGCAGGTGGGTGGGATAGTAAATTGCAGTCCCGCAACTAAATATGAGTGTAAAGTAAAATATAAAAAAGATGAATGTTTGCCTATCATGCATAATTTCTGATGGATATTTTATTTGGCCTTAATAAAAACATTTTAAGCAGCCTAAATTTGCATATGTGGTCTAATTCAGCACATATTTTAAACAATTTCTTTCTGCTTGATGGAGTTTAAGAAAGTGAACGTCTTCTTGCGGGACAAAATATCGCAGATGCAGGTGGGAGCGGGACTGAAAATTACAACTCTTTGCGGGAGCGGAACTGAAAATTCAGTCCCATGCAGACCTCAGTTGTGGATAGCAAAAATCTGTGTCGCTGTCCATGGTGCTGAAACAGTTGAGTAAAATGTATATGCTTATATTTGTGCTATAGTTTACGTATGCCCTATAGAAATTACATAGACTGTAGCATCTTACCTTTACATTGGTTCTCGTCCCAGGGGTAGACGCAGTTCTGCATCCCATTACACACCAGGGTATTATTAATGCACATGTTACTGTGACAGAAGAAGGCATCGGCATCACAAGGAGCTAGAAAATAACAGATGACAATAAATTTGTGAGTTATCAAAATACGCCTTCACTTATTTGTGATATTAAGAACAAAATGTCTCCCCATGCTCTTATCCCGTGTAGTGGTATTATGCACAGAATTAGCAATATAGCCACAGATGAGATGACCAAGAGTTGCTTTGTGCCAATTTTGCCAGAAGTAAATCTGTCCGGATGTTTCTCAGATCTGCCCTGATCCCCCTGAACCCATCTGTTCTTCATGAATTTTCATCCTCATCTTCTCCTTTCCAAATTTGCAAAGACAACTTGTGGATTTGAATATTTCTGTATGGTGAAATCCAGTTCATTTACACATTACAATAGTTTTATTTATAACCTAACAAACTAAAAATGATGAGAAAACAACATTATAGCACAGATCAGAAAATAGTATAACATGGGCCCTTCAAAGGCTTTTGTCCTCTAACATAATAATGGTTTCTCCTTTACAATATGTGGGACCAGAGTAGTCATAAAGTCAGCTCCGTAATGCTGTATGCTCCCAGTGTTATGGCCCTATCATTTAAATGCAAGGTGCCCTTCCCTTTAACTACCAATAGCTCTAATGCACATGTCATCTGATTGGCCAATTCATTTTCCTCGAGAGCCAATCAAACAATAATATTTCTGCATAGTGAAACCCAATTTACTTAGATGTTTTGATATACTTTGTCCGCAGAGTAACTAAAGCAGGAAACTGTTGCAAATCAGAGTGACTGTTTTATCGATCTTAGTGCAAGTGGATGTGATAAAAGTTATTCATTACAGGCATTCTCTTTACAGCATGTAGTAATTGGATATTGGCAAATAAAATCTATGTTACACACTCGGATTATAATACATTACTCGTTACAGACAGTCAATTTGCATGTGATAAACGGGCTGTCAGCACATGCTCTCTGGCTTTGTCTCCATAACATTATAGTGTGTGCTAAAACACACTGTCAGGCACCAAGGGCACAGGAACTGTGCTGCTGCTGATACTACTACTGATACTGATACTACTACTACTACTACTACTACTGATACTACTGATACTACTACTGCTACTGATACTACTGATACTACTACTGATACTACTACTACTGCTACTGTTACTGCTACTGCTACTACTACTACTGATACTACTGATACTGATACTACTACTACTACTACTACTACTACTATACTACTGATACTACTACTGCTACTGATACTACTGATACTACTACTGATACTACTACTACTGCTACTGTTACTGCTACTGCTACTACTAATACTACTGATACTACTTCTGATACTGGTACTACTACTGCTACTATTACAGCTGCTGCTATTACTATAACTGCTTGCTGCTACTACTACTACCACTGACACTACTGCTACTGATACTACTATTGCTGCTGCTGCTACCAGTAGTAGAAATACTGCTACTACTACTGCTAATACTGATACTACTACTGCTACTACTATTACTTCTACTATTATTGCTGCTGCTGCTACTGCTATTGCTACTGCCATAACTACTACTGCTGCTGCTATTTCTGCTACTACTACTACCACCACTTCTACTACTACTACTACCACGTCTACTACTACTACTACTACTACTACTACTACTACTACTACTACTACCACCACCTCTACCACTACTAATGCGGTTACTGCTACTACCACTACTACTGCTACTACAACTAGAAAAACATAAAAAAAAAAAAAAAAAAAAAAGATAATATGTCATGCATATTGAAATATGGAAAATCATTATTTAGGGCTATGAAAATAAAATGCCGGCCCACCTTCATAAAATCCACTCAACACCAGTTACTTGCAAATTAACCTTTCATACTTATGTATATTTAATATCTTCTGCTGTATTTGAGTAATGGCTTTTTGGCAAGATGTTTTCTTGCTCTCTACAACATAAACGTCTGCGCTGTTGCCAGTAATTGACAGATAACGCTTCTCCATGTGAGACTATTTACTTGTAATAATCATTCTCCTTACACAGCAGGATCCACAGGGGGGCGCCAACTCCTTCCATTAGTTCCTCACAGCACACCACAGGGTAAGAACATTTTAAGAACTCGATTCCCAATAATCTGCTTTCAAATTAATTTTAAGACATTTTGTGGTAGATGTGTCCTTTTGGTCAGAGAGAGGCGCCTCGAGCTGCCAGTGGAGACATAATTAACTCTTAAATGAGTGGTTGATGGGTGCAAGGGGGATTTGGCTGTAAAATGCCAGAAGCAACAGGAGGTTCATGAATTTTTAAATGAACAAGAGACTACAGAAGTGGCTTTTTGAGGGTGAGTGAAAACAAGCACCGTGAGACTAGAAATAACTTTAAATGGACTGAGACTGCATTCCCAAAATTGGTCTCAGGAGGGCGCCCCCCACAAATTGCACTATAGGATTGGAAAGGATTAGATGGAGAGGGACGGAGACAGTATGCCAAATATTATGCAAGTACTACATGGATATATCAACACAATAATCCGGAAGTCCAACTCATTTACATAACTGGTTTGACCTTAAAGTAGACTGAATACAGTTGGTGGTTATGCATACAAAATTATTCATGAGTTTCAGAATCATGAAAAATTAGGACCATTGCCATACCAATTAACAATTAAAAACTAAATATTACAGTATTTAAATTAGGGGTCTGCAAAAATATTGAAATATCTATATGTTGTGATACTAAATTTGATGATACAGTATCTTTATGGTGGGCTGCTATATTGGTATATTGCCAAGAGTATTTTTGGTATTTTCTACACTAAAGTTATAGTTTTGGAGTTTGTTTTGATGATTAAACTAGTTGTATTTCATATTAACTTTGCACAGGTAGTGGTTTAATAAAGAAATATTGTTGCTAAAATGTATCTGGTTCTCAAAACACAGCAATATATCAATTATTACATGTATAAAATCATATAGTAAGTATTGTGTATATCAAATCGTGACCATGAGTCTTCAAAATGTTGCCTAAAACAGGAATCCATGACAGTGTATTTAAAAAGTGCAGGAATTTAAATAATAGTCAATTCTGATTCTGATTAATCATGGGCAAAAAGTGACCAAAATAGCAGTTCCCTTTTGAGAGAAATCCAAATACTGTACATTATATTGAATTCTACAGGTGCACAGAGCTACAGGTGCATACTACACCTGTGTTTTTTTTATAGGACACTTTTCACAATGAGTGCCTCTGCAGATCCTTTAAGTCTTTTTATGTCCTGAGCAGATGTGAGTTCCCAATGGGGCCGATGGCTTTTAGAGACATGTGCACAGCTGTGAAGGTTTCACTGTGTTTTTGTGTGTATTTACAGCAGTGTGGAGGCCCTGGCTTATGTGCCGTTCATGGGGTCACACACACAGAATGAAGAGGAAGTGAGGAAGGAAGGGAAATCACATGAACCAAAAATGGACATTGTGTGACTTCCTGGTTGTCATAGCAATCATTCATCATCAAATATAAGTACGAGCAGAAGGATCTGTCTGTACACTGCCCTGAACTGAACTTTATCTCTGTATAATTAGGATAAAAAGAGACTCTAGTATACGACAGATGCAGCAGTAGCTTAATGAAGGTATGGCTACCCACAAATCAGGTGGTGTGAAGTTTGGGTCTCAGCTCTTCATGAGCAAGACACTTCACCTGCATTACCTCCATTGTCAGTGTATTGTGGTATATGTTTGTGAGCACAAAAGTATAGGGATATGCATTTACTTTACTAATCTATGCTCCTGGGGTTGTTTTTTTAAGACTATTTATGAGTTGTATTGATACTTTGCAGCTGGTGTCATCAATTTCCTTGGGGTGTGATGCTAACTGCAAGCAATGCTCTGTCTGACGCTCTGTTAGTCAAATTAGACTTTAATCTGAGCTTTAATTTAACACCAGAAAGATGGAACTGAAAGCTGATTTGTGCTGTGCAACATAAAATTACACAACCTAGGTAGCAATAGACACAGTTTTTCAGTTAGTCACTCTCATTTTTGGTTGAAAATCAAACACCGAAACAGGACCATGAGCGCTTGCATCGATCACAGGCTCCTGAAAATGTGTTGCTTAAATCCTTTTTGTATTTTTTTCTGGAGTTTTCAGACTATCTTAAAACTTCTTTTGGCTGTGTTTGCAAACGTGTGCATTGTGTAACTATGGTAACTTCTAAAGCTTTCCGTCATAGACATATATGTTGAACACGCCCAGCATGATGTCACTGCAAAGTATCAATTGGGTGTTTTAGACAAGAAATTGGGCAGCATGAGATGGAGTGAAGAGCGGGGAGAGACATACAGCATTTAAAAAAGTGAAGACTCTATGTAACTATGTTGAGGGAGACACATATTGGTTGTTTATATAGGCTTTTCTTGTTGCAGTAGTTTTTAAATTTACCTGGAAAACAAGCACAATAGTTGAGGTCAAAGAAGTGGACCGTTTTTTGAATTCCCTGACAGTTGAAATAGCCCACTAGCCTGATGTGGCTGTGACCTGTTGTATATTCAGTCTATGGAGCACCTGAGCGTGGAGCATTGACAGGCTGCGGCAGGAGCAGAGCCGGGCGCCGCTCTATGGCGACGGTCTGGCACGGATCGCCTCAGTGACTTAGGCAGCACTGTTACCCCGGCAACAGCACACCTCGGGCTCTGAGGGTGAAATGGACCCACCAAAAAGACTGGACTCCACAAACAACTGATCAGGTCTGTGGATTTAGACTGGAGAGACTTGATTTCTCTTGAACAATGAAGGAAGTAATCAGGAAGTATCTACTGACAAAGTGGGATACTGTGTTCATACATCTGAGAAAGTGTAATATTATTGTCAGAGCTCAGGATTGCGTTGTAACATCTCAGTGAATTATAATTTTGGAGATTTAAGATTCTATTAAGATTAGAGTTCATATATTATTTTGGATAATACATCTCTAATAACTTAGTAAGACAAACTATCAAACAAAAACATACAATTATTATGATCTTAGCAAATGTTAAAAGGTGAGCACTTCTTAATTTCCAGTCCTTTTTTCATACTTGCGACTTCCTTCTTTCCTTACCATTAAAGGATATACAGTCTTTTACGTAGGGATGTTGTACTGTTTTTCTAATGCTTTCAAAGAAAGATGTGGCTTGTGTGGCTACAGGTGAGTGTTACTTCAGGTCTAATTCTGTCTGTTTGAATGCAGGTTAAATTACACTGTGGAGCTAAATATAGTGTGCACAATGACTGAGCACACTTCCCAGCTCCACTGAATGAGGCTTGATTGAGAATGGGACGTGATACAATCGATCCATGTAGGACATTGGCTCTATTCAGGGTGATCTGTTTTCATTTAAAATAGCCCTGGCTGCAGTTTTGTCTGTACATTGTGAATTTTTGCAAAAGTTTAAGGCTTAATACAGTAACACTATACAAATGGTGTCCAGTTAAAGTCAGAAGGATGAAAACATACATATTTTTGGACAGATTTTTTATTTTTTTTACCTGTCAATACTTTACAGCTGATATCATAAATATGGGGTTGAAGCTAACTGTGGCACTACCTTGTCTAGAGCTCTGTTGCTCAAGTTAGATTTAAATGTGATTGAACACAATTAAACAAGTCTGTCATTGCAGTCACAAGTTAACTAACATTAGCCAACAGTTTTTCAGTTTTAGTTTTTTACTCTCAGGACTCTCAGGACCATGGATGCTCCTATAGACAGATTATTTGCTGACCAACACAGCGGATATGCTTGCAGTCTGAGTGCAGAAAGCGCCGCTGTCTATATGGTTAACATGACGTTGCGGTGCTATCTAGAGATGTTGTCAGCTCACATAAAATAAGTTATGATGCATTAATGAGTAGAATACGACTTAATGGCCTGCATGCATCAAATGCATATGGTCTATAGTTAATTGCAGGTGGGTGCGTAAATGACGAGAGGAAATGGCTCGAACTTCAGTAGCTGGACATACACTCATGCCTGATCAATACGACTAGCCCCAACCCCGAGAGAGACTGAAATCTGCTGAAATCCTCCAAGACACTGACATGATACCAGACAAGACAACAGCTCTTTCTGCAGGAGACATGCACAGAGTGCAAAGTGACATAATCTGATAATCCCTCTATTGATCACAGGCTCTTGAAAATGAAAAAAAAGAAGTTTTTTTCTTGATTTTTGAATGGACTCCGGTGACTATGTACTTGAATAATTACACACACACACACACACACACACACACACAAATCTTAAGATAAGTGGCATCACATGGCTTTCAAAATGTCCACTAAAGCCTTGTACAATTTCTCCCAAACCAAAATAAAAAATTTATTGATGTTGTACCTCCTCTTCCATTCTATACTGCGTGTATTATCGTATTCCACATGAGGCATGATGCTGCTCGCATTCACTGTGTTCGCTATTAAAAAGCCCATAAAACTAAATGGAAACCTCTGGCAGTACATTGTAAATGAATGACATCTGATACAAGCCACTATAAACCTGACCCATGTTCTTGAATCCCGCCTTTATGGGCCACACTAAGGACCAGGTTTACAGTGTAGTATTATGGGATGTTCAGTGCTGTGGTGGGAGTAGGGGGTGGTCTTACGCTCTTGGTAGGTGGTGAACAGGATGCGGAATCGGCTCTTTCGACTGGCCTCATCCGCCCACATCCGGATCACCCCCAGAGTGGACACCAGCATGATGTCGTTGGCAACCGTGGAGCAGAATTTACTCTTGAGGTCCTCCACTGAGCTAAGACAGGAGAGAATAAGTTATAATCAAGTTTTGTAGGAATTAGGAATTGCACAGTATAGCTTTGATATTCAATTTAGAGACATATTATCCAAAATTGACTTTTAAGCATGTTATAATGGTTTCCTGTCTTCAGTAACTCCTCTGTATACTCTCATAACTGATGTATGTTTGAGTAATCTTTATTCATCTGCATAGTGTTTCTAGTTGATATCATGGGATTTGTTATACAACCAAGCAAAAAAAACAAACAAAAAAACAAAACAAAAACAGAAGACCCACCTGCCACCATCATACACTGCTACAAAGTTACGCTTGCATTCATTTGAATTAGCCATCTCATAGTCCAGGAAACGTAGGTAGATCTGAAAAAATAACAAAGAATTATTGACAAATGAAAGTACAGCAATAAACATACACACTTCAGACAAACTACACAAAAGCCATTTCAGGTAAAAATCATTGTTTTTCTTTGGCTTTCTCAGACCTGAGGAGACCCCAGTTCCTTAGAGGACAAGTGGAAACAATGGCTCTTATTTACATTTACAGTCCACTACATTGAACACCCTTCATTATTGTTCTACTGCAACTAATACCCCCATTATTTAGAATACATTGGGTGCAGTCAGATGGAGTAAAGTAGAAAATACTCAGCAGTGGGCACCACACTGCAGTACTCTGGGACCCATCTCCACGATCTTGTTGCTAGATTTGATCAGAACCTCAGCCAGAGTATTGTACCTAAGGCGCTGACAATAGCAATAAAACTTATTCTGATTATTTATTATTCATTCCCACGACTAAATGAAAGAACCAAAGTGTGATTTAAAAGGTTAATCAGTGTATCCTGTCACAACTCTGTACTCCAAACAGCAGAAACAACCACCTCGGTCTCCTCTACATGAGTAAAGGTCAAAGGGACACTTCTTGTACAAGCGTTTTCACACAGTCACCTGTCAATCATCCATCAGGCCTGAGATCTTCCAATCAGAGCCTGCGTTCTGCTCCAGTGGGTGCAGCACTCCCATCATTACAGTTAATGAGTGGAACGGCCCTGGACTGTGGCTGGGTAATGCGATACTTTATAAATGCACAAAGACAAAAGCTGCAGATGGGACGGGATAATGGACCCGCAATGTCAACTCAGCTTCACCAACATGACAGGAGCTATACATCCGCTGGGACAAAACAAGTCAGCCAATTTCCCCCCAAGCTCCCATTCTGGTGTCAGTAATAGTGGGTCTAATAAAACTATGTCATATTTTGCCACTTCGCTGACTGTTGCGGCTTCATCACAGGAAACAGGACATTTTGTATCTCGCCAATGAATTAAATAGAGCCATGTCAGCGTAATCTGTAGGGTATACAAACACTGTACAGTACAGCGTGTGCAAAAACAAATGAAATCTAATACATCGCATAGAGGACACACATATTCATTGCTTGTACCCAAAGGATTCAAGTATCAGCGGGTTTGGTTCGGATGGGATTCATTTTGTAAAGAAAATAATTTGCACCTTGCTTTGAAGTGAATAAACTGGCTATCACATTTTGGGCTGGTGAAATTAATTTGAATAATTGAAAAACACTTTTTGTCTCAATTTGATGTTTTTGTGCAAACTCAGTTCCCTTTTTCGTAACAGTCAAAGATACTAATGGGCACCACTATTGTATAACACATGGTTTCAGTTTGGTTTCAGGGGGTATAAAAGCTTCACTTTTTTAGGTAGGTTTAAAAGAGTGCAAGGCATTCTGGGAAAACGGCATCCATTTTAATTTGAGAAGTGTGTTTTGTGTGAACTGGTTTTATCCATCTTTTTATTTTGAGAGACACATTTACCCTTATTTAAACAAGACCTGGGGGTAACTGTAATAGATCAATACTACTTAAGAGGCCACACTCACATTCTCAATCTGTTAAAAACGTGCGACAAAATGTATTCAACAAAGGCAATTATTTATTTATTTATTTGCCCTTAAAACAAGTCCTAATTCATGTTAAACAGTTGGCACTGGTCCAAAGTTATTCCTCACTTTACCTTATACGTCTCAAGCACCTTAATTATACACCGCAATGAATATATGAGCTCTTTTCACAACTTTCAGGGGCTTTCAGTTTTGTTGTCATGCTAACAACAACTTAATATACTGCATATTTTGACCCCAAGAGCTGCTTATACAATATATCTCTGATTGGGCAGGACAAATTTTGTTTAAAGACATGAATAAAAATCAGATATGTGGGCTTTTAATGTGAAAAAACATCATTCACACATAGGTCTCTGTATTGATACTTCGCAGAGAGATTACGATGGGGGTGTTCTACATCAGTTACCATAGCGACAATGCACACATTAGTAAATGTTATATGTTATATGTTATAAATAAATACTGAATACAAACATTCATAGTCCTGTTCTGGAGATCAATTTTCAATAAAAATATGAGAGTGACCAACTGAAAAGCTAGTTTGGACTGTAATTTTCTGCATGAGAGACTTGTTTACCAGCACAAATCAGCTCACCTAGTGTAGTTCCAGCTAAATCAGCATTTTCTGGTAAGACTGAGTTAAAATAAAGCTCAGATAAAAGTCCAACTTGAGGTTCTAACAGAGCAGTGCTTCAGTTAGCGCCACATGCCCAGAGAATGTTGATGATGCTCAGCTGCAAAGTATCAATAGCGCAACTTAATTTTACCCCAAGCTGAGATGTCTCTTTCGGTAACAAATTAAGAAGTGAACTGGTGGTCAATCCTCTATCTTAAAAGCGAATGATGGTCATAGATCAGATAGATACAATCACCAATTTGTAATGAAACCGATTGGCTGTGGTGCAAAATGGGCCCCCTCTCTATCGATCTGTATAATGACGCAGAATCCATCACTGCTCTGAAGAATAGCTCCTCCTTGTCGCCTAAAAGCTTCTCGATATGCTCTTGGTTGGGCTCATTATTGCCTGAATGGATGTCCATATTTTGGTCATTATGTGTACAGACAGACCCTGCATGGGGTTAGGCTATCAGGGCCAGGTACACTCAAAAATACAAATGATCTCCTCCAGCAAGATAAGATTTGTACAAAAACAGCTGTGGGCAGCATTGGACAGGCTAATCAAAGTCAGCATCCTTTAGGGTGTTAGTGTCCTCCTATAAATTATATTAAGTGATTTTTTAGGCATATTATGACCAGTGAGATGTGACAAAAGGACAAAGTACAGCACTTCATCAAAGCTAATGTTAGCAGCAAGTGGCTATTTTGGACTCTAAGTTGCTGTATTATAAGGCTAACTGGACAAATATGAGTGAGCTTGAAATGGGCCAAATAGTATCTCCAAAACACTCTAAGTATGGAGAAAAAAAAAAACAAAAAAAACTAAGAAATGAACTACTAGTAGAGCTACTGGAACTAAATGTACAAAAAAATTACTTGTACAAAGCGAGTACAAATTGTGTTTGACTTTTGTAACAATACATTTTTACATTACATTTTGTTGTGTAATGTTAGTGCACAGTAGCCAGGCTGGCGCCACCTAGAGCCTCGGCTCAATTTCATTTCTCTGAAGCGACTAGGTCAAGAATTGCAATACACTAGATGGTTTGCAAGAACCCCAGAAGTTGTAGACCACGCACCGGCCAAGCAGTGAAGAGCTGTAAACCGCCTGTCTGGGTCCCTTTTGTGGTACAGCGCAACAGTAAACAAAGAGGTCAAGATGGATGTAGACGAAGCCATACATTTTGTGTTGGCAACGATTCTCGAGATCAAGGATTTCAAGCCGGAACACAGAGAATGTTTGGTGAATTTTATCAAGGGGAAAGACGTTATTGCCCTTCTTTCTACGGGATTTGGCGCATTACATACATCACGGCCAAATAGCAGCAATTGGTTAAATAAAAATGTACCCACCTACCGGCGAGCGAACAAATCCTAATGCTCCGAGGTCAGACGGTTTCCAAGAAGTGAAACCAGCTGATGAATCAGGCTAAGTGAGGCTAAGTGTGCAGTTCTCTGAATCTATAAATGGTGCTACAGTATGTGAAGTGGCTTGAATCACATTAAGCTAGTTTGTCGTTTAGTCATTATGTTTTGCCTGACCACTATGATTATAATGCATACCTCCTCCTACAATATGCCAAGGAAGGGATGGTCTTTCCAGTAATGTAATTTGAAGTTGATTTTGTGGATAAAGCAAGGTTAAAATAACAGTTTAAAGTGGCTAGAACAGAGCAAAGCCTGCTGCAGTGCTGTCACTTCTGGCAGCAGCAGAGGGCCATTATTGCTTACTCCAACAATATAGTTCCTTTCTCCTTCTCTTCAGCTGCTGTGAGTGCTGCCCCTGTCTCTGTCATCTCAGCCTAAAGCTCTTCCATATGTTTCCTAAAATGCATTATTAAGTATGTCCCAGTATGTATTCTCCCAGTATGTCTGTAGAGCATTGGGTCCTGTCTAATTAGACGCTCCAGTATAGAGTAGGATGTGATTCTGTGAGGTTTCTGGCACAGCGGCTTTAGCGCAGTGTGTATCAGCAGAGGAGAAATAAAGTGCTGGCCCTAAGCTCAGGTGTGTACACTGTGTACAGTTGGAGAGGGACAATCTCCTCTGTATCTCCTTCACTCATATAACATGAGTCTGCATTATGGCTATATAGAGACTACAGTGTAATGTACAGCGGAAAGTATTGATCCATGACTAATATACGTTATGCAATGTTTTTTTGTTTTGGTTTTTTTCTCCAAAAGCAATACATACAAATGATCCAAAGAAACAAACAAAAACAGGACATGTGGGGACTGGTCTTTTCATACTGACTGTGTTTCATTCTCACCATGCATTTGACTACATGAAGTGTTGGTATATACTAGTAGATATGGCATCTAAATGTACTCCACCTAAGGCTTGACATTACTTTTATATATTGAATTTCTTGCAATTGCTAAAATGAGTCACACTCTAGTATTTTCTTTTTTGGCAAGGAACCTCACTAGAGGAAAATGGTTGGAGTGCTTTTTATCCAAAATGCATATACATCTACTGTAGTAATTAGATTGTCAGCTATTAACAATAAACTACACTTTGTGGCTCTCTCTATGTAGGCAAGCAGGCTGCACCAGAAGGCCAAGATATAGGTCAGATCTGTGGAGAGGCAAGCCCATTCACAGTATATTCACAAGTATGTTTTTCAAGATATTTTCTGCATTACTAAAAATCTGGATTTCGATGCACAGCATGGATAAATGTAACGCAATACTGTGGAACATTTAAGGCAAAGCAAACTATCTCCATGGAGACAAGCCACCCACCAGGAAAGTTATATGGAGCAGTTTTATATACACAAACACACACACACACTAAACAGAATTTACAATTGTG